CCGTCGTCGAGCCTCACGGTGAGCGACTTCCCCCGGAACTCCACCCCGTCCACCTCCACGGCCCGCCCCGCGGCGGCCTCCGGGTCGTCGCCCCCGTAGTAGAGGAAACAGAAGCCGACGTTGCGCTCGGGGTCGTCGTGGCCCCGCACCAGCTCCACCTTCTCCAGGGGCCCGAACTGGCGGAAGAACTCCGTGATCTCAGGCTTCCCCACCCACAGCGGCAGGTTGCCCACGAACACCTTGCCCTTCTGCCGGAAGTCCTCCTGCCGCAGCGCCGCCGCCTCCTGCTCCTGCTCCGGCTCCGGCGGGGGCGGAGGCGGAGGCTCCTCCACCATCTCGAGCGACACTGGCGAAGGAGGCGGTGGGGACAGCTTGCTCGTCAGCCATAGCTTGGAGGCGAGGGGGTTGGCGGGAGGAGGCGGCGAGGGTTTTGGGGCCGGAGGCGTCGGTGGAGAGGGGCGGCGGAAGGAGGCCGAGGAGGCCACGGGCTTGAAGAGCCTGGGAGTAGGCGAGGAGGCGGTGGGGAGCGAGAGGAATTGCATCAGGATGGTGGTGTCGGATTTTCGAATGGCCCGGGAAGACGATGCCACCAGCGTCTGCGACTCTGCGTCCTCCTCCTCGGCCAAGGTGGATGGAGGATGGAGGATAAGGCGCGGCGGCGAGATTTCTCGTCGGACGAGATATTTCTGATTCGGTCCTTGGCTTGTTCTAATGCTTGATACGAGTCCCCACTGAAGAGTGAACTGGGCTGGATTTCATTTAGAGCCGGCTAACCAGGCCGCCGGATCCAATAAACAGCCCATTTTAAAATTTGCAGCGCTCTATTTCCATGACGCTTCCTTTTCACCATATAAACAATAATAACAACGACAAAGTTTCACAAAATAAATTTGTCAAAAAGTTCAAACAAAATAAAGAACAATATGGACAATGGAACAGTGTGCTTCGAGCTAATTTCATTCGATCGGTGAAACAAACCAACTTGAAGAACGTAGAATGATAGTATATCATATACATTTTCAAGAACACACTGACCACCTTTGGATTTGCAGGCAATAAATCTGAGAATCATACACAAGCACTTCTGCTCCACACGTACACTTACACAGCTGAAATCACATAACACGACGCAACACAGAGCAACAGCACATACGCATGCAGCCACATCCACATCAGGGCAGAAATCATCCAGTTCAGCGTTTCCTGATGGCGAAGGCGGCCAAGATGACGAGGAATAAGAGGACGAGCACGGCGAGGAAGGATGCCACGACGGCGCCGCTGGTGCGCTGGCAGAAGCCGTGGAACTGCATGCAGATGGGCACCCAGTTGGCGCGCAGGTTCCCCGAGTGCGCCAGGTCCACGATCGCCGCCGCCGCCGCCGCCGCGGCCGTCAGCAGCGCCGCTATGATCTGCAGGGCAACTCACCACGAAAGAACTTGTACTCAGCGATTGATCAGCGTCGTGCGGTTCTAGTGCGCCGTGCACGTACGTGGGCGTGTCGTGTTCGTGTGTGCAGTGTGGTGACGGAGTGCCGGAGCGGGAGAACGGATACCATGTCGCAGACGAGCAGGAGGTGGCGCAAGCCGATGGCCTGTGGGCGGAGGGCGATGACGGCAGAGAAGGGGAGGGACAGCACCAGGTACCCCGCCGCGATCGCGTTGGCCACCATGAAGAACCTGCAACAGTGGAAGCACACGCGCGCACGCGTTTGGCGTCAGCTCAAGTCGACATGCACTGGAATATCGCTGGACGGGCGGGCGGGCGGGCAACACCGACAGGAGCGCCGGGAAGTCGTCGAAGCGGGCGCGGAACTGGAAGAACTGGGTGAAGACGGAGAGCGTCTCGTCGGAGGTGCCAGTGGCGATGGCGGCGGCGAGGGCGGGCCCGAAGGCCGCCACCCTCAGCACGAAGTCGAGGAGCGCCACGCAGCGGCTGCCGCGGTCGGCGCGCCGGAAGAAAGGGACCCCCGTCTTCCGAGGCGCCGTCGTCGTCGCCGCCGCGGGTACCGCCGCTGACGATGCTGCTGCAGCGGGAGGAGGAGGCGCCGTGGCCACAGACGGGGCCTTGCCGTGGTCGCGGGCCACGTCGTCGATGGGGATCACGGTCGCGGCGGCGCCGGCCTCGCTGGTGCTCATGGTTGGTTGCTGCGTCGTTGGAGCTAGCTAGGCGCAGGCGGCAGGCTAGCTTCGCGTGAGGTACTGAGACTGCTGGGAGGTGCTTAGCTAGCTCGGCTGCTGGCCAGTTTGAGTTGCGGAGAGAACATTTATAGAGAGTCAGATGGGCTTAGCTGCCAGGAGCTGTTGGGGTGTATCTGCTCGACTGCCCGTGTATTGTGAAAGTGAAGTTAGTGAAGTTGGGTCGAGGTTGGGGGCGGGAGAGGGGTGTGGTAGTGTGGTTTAGGAATGGAGGCCGGAGTGGTTACCAACTGCTATGCAAGCGCCAATGAGCAGATAGAGTGATTGGGAGGCTTTGTTAGTGTGGGATGGGATCTAGGATGAAACGAGCAAGTGTTGTCATGTCATTGTCATCCACAAAGTCCTTTTAGCTGCAAACCTTGATATAGATCACTCGCGACACCGGTCTCACTCGGTTAGGGCTTGTTTGACTACGCTCGTATTCACTTTAATCTAGAATTTAGGTGAATATGAGTGTAGCCAAATAAGATCCTGGTGGGAAGATCTTAGTGTGCGTGGCCACTGCCCAGAGGAGGCCAAGAATCACGTAGCTTGATGTGTTGTTTACACCACAGTATCCACCACAGCTCGCTTAGTGTGTGTGTGTGGACCCTGGATACTGACCTTGATGTGTTGTTTACACTCTAACGGCACCAATCTGTCATTTTATCTTGATCTTGACCATGGTGTTTGCTGTGAAGGACAGCGCTGCCCTCGTTCCCACGGGCCAAACTGGCTAGGGATGTAAGACGGGTTGTCCGTGAACTCACAAATAGATTTAATTTTTACGGGTTCACGGATAACTAATGTCTCATATTTCTAGTTAAGTTGTGAAAGAGAATATTTTATCTATATGTGCTCTGTATTGCCTAATACGACTAAATCAGACGTACTGGGTAATGTTGTATTGAACATTGCGTAGATCTACATAAAAACCTCCACAAAGAACTAAACATGTGCAAACCGCGTGCGGTGCATAAGTTGTATGCTTGAATTGCTGACAACTAAACAAGCGGCCTATGCTTCGCGGTGCCCGCAGGTTACATGGCCACCAAGCCTAAACCGCATGGCAATGCCCATTTGCTATCGGGCCCAGCAGACTTGCATCCCCTTAGGGCCCGTTCGTTTTTCTCGGAAACGTGGCACGAATGATTTTCACATGGAACGATATGCTAATTTATATAGTGATTGAATAGCCAGAACGAATCCGGACCTCATTCCGGAACAACCGAACGAGGACTTGAGAAGACATTCTGATGGCAGTTAACTTACTCCCACAAAAATTATCTGGAGCAAGGGGTGAAAGCGTTTTAAGTCTTGAAGATCAAGAAATGGAACAACCAGAACGCTGACATTTTTTGCCTTTTAAAAGAATTCCACTATCTTATCCAGAAATATACCAATGAGAGCTAACGCATAATAAATCAAGAACAAAGACAGGGCAAAAACAACGCTTGCTGTACAGGTTTACGCACCTACCACCAGAAAAGATGGACATGTACATCAGCAATCCCTTTTTTTTTACGTTTCCCTTCTTTTGTTTCAGTAGGACCAAGAAAAAAGTTTCACTTTCTTCTCCCCATTAATTTCCTGTCTGTGGCACTTATTCACCTTGGATGTCTTTGTCCTCTCTTTCAGAGCCACTGTTGTCGTTTTCTTCCATATGTACATCCTACATGAAGATATGGACGACGGACGACGTTCCACACGCACAAAATCTGAAAAAGTTAACGAACCCCTAGCCAAATTGACAAATTAACAACGCCTGCTTCCATAGCCAATAATACTCTCTTCAAACAAGCACCTGCACCACAAAACAAAATAACGAGGAAAAGATAGTGACGTCAACATCTTTCTTCAAGATTGCTTATGGAACTTCTCGAGACCACTAAGACAGACAGCAGCATATTGATGAACTTGATAAAATTTCATGTGTTAAATGACAATTCTAGTCAAAACAAAACAAGGCAGCAGCTTCAGTACTGTTTCAAGCAACTAGCATAATCCAAACATGCCAATAGAAGGAAAAATAAAGACTCTCAGATCCCAGGGATTCGGGGACAATGCTGCAGAGCAAAAGTCAGGTATGACAGCTCAGTAGCTCAAGTTTCAAAAACCACCGGGAACTAGCCAGGTCTTTTATCCTTAACAGCCAAAACTGAAACTGGGCTGGTATCAGTTAGTTCTCAAAGAACTGGTTTAAGGCCATAGAATCCCCATTTGATCCCATCTTGCTAAATACTTCCTCTGGTCACGAAAACATGTAGTTTTGGAGTATATAGAAGTACATTTACTAGCTACTTAGATTACAAAATCCAAACTCCAGAACTCAAAATGTCCAAGAAATCCAATCGACAAACTGAACTTCAGAACTCAAAACAGGACGAGAAGTTACCAAGGTTACTAATTTTTAAACCCAAAACAAGAAATGGAACTCTAGCCACACCCTCATCATGAAATCCTAGATTAGCAGGCTATTTGCAAGATATGGAAAGTAGGGTATACATCCCAACAGAAAAGTACTCCCTCCATCCCAAATATCCCAAATTGTAAGACGTTTGACTTTTTTGGCCCCAAGTTTGACCACTTGTCTTATTCAAAAAATTTGTGCAAATATAGTCAAATTTAAGTCATTCTTGAAGAATTTTTATTAATAAACCAAACCACGACGAAAGAAGTGATATTTTACACAAATTTTTGAATAAGGTGATCAAACTTGTCCCAACAGAAAAGTAGTACTTAATTCTTTAGTAAGACATTGGGATTTCTAAAAGGTATATATACCTGAAATTATGTGCATTTTGGGGACTACAAATTTGTTCACACTCAATGTCCACCACTGCTACTTTGCTCTAGGTTACAACCATCCCTGAGTGCTTCTTGGGCTTCATTCTCCATGCCTTGTGATAGTAGTGCTGCTGCCTGAAGATAGAATGCTGTTGACCATGTCGGAGATATTACCAGAGCATTCATTGCATCATTCAATGCCTCCTGTGGCATGCCATTCATCAGATATGACAGGTCAGCATAAATGGTTGGAGAAACCATAGCATAATGGTTGGAAAGAAACCAAAAGACCAACTTCAAACTGAACTGCATGATAAATCATGAACAAATACTTTTTAACGAAAGAGACCGGGTCAATAGTGTCTTTCAGGTAACTGCAAAGATTGAACCATATTATAATGTAAAATCCAGAATCAGCAATACTTTTAGCGTATGTGGCCCAGAGCTTTCATTTTCCAATTATGTCTTAATATAGGGAACAAATTGGAAGACGTTGAACCTATATGACTTTTTACCTACATTCAATCATGCAACTCCAGTATCTGTGTGACGGGATCCATATAAAATAAAAGAGCAGAACACATCAAACCTGGGAATAGCAATCAATGGCAGTAGTAAAATCCTTCTGTCGAAAAGCATTGTCACCCTTCTTTTTTGAGTTCAATGTATCTTGCATCTGATTCGTCCACATCTGAAACGAGAGCTGGAGCAAAAAAAAAAGGTATAAAGAGGATGACATAGCAGCAAATATGAACAATTTGGCTGAAAAAATATATGGTAGAAACGTCAAATTTTAAACCACATGATGAACCCGAAAAAATTATTCCAGCACAATGTAATCTGTGCAATTGAGATTAAATAGCACACGAAGGGCTTTTAAATGCAACTATACCAAATGAACATCATGAAATGTAAGATAAGATTTTGATCATGTAAGTATTTAGAGTATCTGCATATGAACTAAAGTTGTTGTAGGAGACTACGAATCTAATATGCATCAGAATGACTACCGGCAAGTATTATCTATGTTTTGTTGTGAAAAAATATCATAATGGTTTGCTTATTTGAATGTATCTGATAATGTTGTATTAAAGTATGAAAAAACAATGTCATTAAACCTCTAAAGAAAATAAATAAATAAAATGAACCTCATTTGCAGTCCCCTCATCATCCTTGTAGCCCGTCTTTTCTAGAATTTCATGTATTGCTGTCAGATCCTTTCTGGAACAAGCTTCGGCGAGAGGGGAAAGATGCAATGGTTGGATAGAAGATGCACCGCCACGCGGAATGCCCATTAGCACATAAGATGGAGTCTGCAAAAGATTTAAACATTGTCAACAAGGATGTCAAAGCGTTATCTTCAGACAGGCTGAAATGGCCTGGATTAGACAGGACTGAAATTACCCGTTGCGCAATTCAATTATTTTGTCAGGCTAAATTAGGAACCGACTAAATGCTGACTGAAATGGCCCTCAAACCCATTGCATACTTTTCTCAACATAGTGCTAGATAATGCAAGCCTGAATTCAAGAATGCTAACAATAGAAAGATAAAGTATTCACCTCGACATCCCTCTGTAGAGGAGTCAATACTTGCACAAGTGATCTGACATTAGGTCGCTCACGGGGTTCATAGTGAAGGCACCTTGAAGCTAATCGCACCATTTCTGTTCCTTCCTCATTTGAAAATTGACCCTCTAAACATGAGTCTAAGAGCATATTGAAGTTTCGGTCCCTAATCAGGTCAAGGGCCTGCACATATTTGCTCCACAATCATTAGTCTGGTACAACTGATTTTTCCTTGAACGTAGAACAAATCAGGAATATAATTGTGTGAAATGATAGTTATTGTTGCATATAACGGTCACTGTTGTCTCATTATACTTTGTTCCAAAACAGGTATGTCATCAGACAACACTTTCTCACAGTGCAAAATAGTCAAGATGATAACTATACACTAGATTGCCCTTCTTATGGTCTACTAGATAAGACCAATGCTGCCATGCAGGTTGATTTGAATGAGTAACTATAACCCAATATGAGATTATCTCACATTGTTTAATGAAGGTGAAGACTGAAACCTATAGACAAAGAGTGATTTTGCAGTGTTCAACGTAACTATCTTTTTAGAAAGCAATGTAACTAAACTTTTTGCTAAATAAGTCTTCTATGGACTATGAGCTAGTCATATTCACATGAAATTGCTAGTAGATGCTGTCATATCAGTCAGCATAAGAGAGCGCTTAAAACATTAAAACAAGGACATTTCTCAAAGCATTAGAGCTCAATGTTGTTACATGGCTAGGAGGAATATGCTTCCCACTAAGAACATCAATCAGCAAGGTTCCAAAGCTGTATATGACACTTTCAGGAGTGATACGTCCTGCAGGTAAAACAAAAGACAAATATGCAGGAATGAGATGTTGACGACTTGAGGATAATACAAAAGAGAATCTAATAATCTTGTACAATTTATACAAAGATAATCTAATAATCTTGTACAATCTACACAAAAATAATGGTCCAGAGTTTTCACCCAGCTCAAACTACATGTATAATTTTGAAGGTAACATTAAACCTAAGGTCATTACAAAGACAAATCGTCAAAATATGAATTTGCATGTGTGATGCTCAGTAAAAATGCTCGTCATCATTTGTATCAATTAGGTTTACTTCGCAGATTAAACCATTAGTGCATGCTATGTTTTGCTCAAATCTACTATAGGTCTGCCACAAAAATGGTTCTAAATCATAACATAAAATATAATTGCACTGTATCCAGATGCACCATTGAATGACAGAGCCAAACGAGCTTCGCAAAGGTACCTTAGCTTCTATAAATAACTTGCTTTAAGTGTTCCACATGTAAAAGAACATAACAGGGTGAATAATACAATGTAGTTCCTCAGAATGCTCAGCACTAATTATTAAATCAAACTCACATCAAATTGCTACTAACCAAACTAGGTTTAGGTCATTAAAAAAGTAAGATAAGACCCACCAGTCCTCATATATTCTGGAGGCGTAAATGCCAAATTGGTACTGTAACTTTTTCCATCCCGACTGTTCTTCATGAGGCCAAAACAGGAAAGTCTAGGGTTACAGTCCTGCATCATGTAGACAGCATAACTGTGTTACAGAACCCACTGCTGATCATGTTGAAAAAATAAATCACATGATACTCACATCATCAAACAGAGCTCTATAGGCATTGAGATCATGGTAGAGAGCACGGCCCCTGTTGGTGCAATATTCTAAAGCCTCAGCAAGACAGAGAACAACCCTTAGTCTCATGGTCCATTTCATTGATTGTGACTCCCCTGAGAAATGCAGAGAGTAATATGGGGATAATTACACTATCAATCTTGTCAGGCATTCAAAACAACGTATCAGATATTTAAGTGTCAGTTGAGTAAAATGAAAATGCATGTGATTCTCTCTAGATGTCTTGGTCCCATTAGAAGTTCAAAGAGAAAATTCACAAATAGATGCAAGATCTTGTGCAAAAACAGAAATTAATAATTAATAAACGTGATGGCATCATCCTTAATTCCCTATAGTCGAGCGACAGATTATGAATGCAAATTGTTTTGTAATGCTAAACATAACTAAAACATTGAAGGTTTTCAAAGGACTCACAGTGGAAAAGATGTTTCGCTAGTGTATCATTGGGCATGTATTCTGCAACAAGCAATCTCTCATCACCTTGACAGCAACAACCAAGCAAATTTGCTAACCTTTTGCTTCGGAGCAGGCCAACTGATCTAGCTTCTTCCTGCAAAGTACATATTTCCCAAAAGGTCAGTTTGAGTGTTCGAACATGTCCTAAAAAATTTGCACTTGCGGGTAAAGCAAATAAAATCCAATCCTACACACAAAGAAGAGGATGTTTTCCCCTATGTATTACACTACCACATGCGATGCAGAGTAAAATTAGAACAGACTAACAGAACCATAAGTGATAAAATATCTTGTGGTTAAGTCACAATTTGAAAGGCTCATAAAGCACTAGGACAAGTAGATCTGAGAGAATCAAAGATACAAAATGTGGTTGACAAAAGCTGATGGCCACTATTAAAGTGTCATCATTGAGATGGATAAAATGCTGATTCACTACAGAAATAAACATATAAGTTCCCCATATTTGGCACTATATCATTACTGAGATGACAACACAAGCTCTATTTCTAGCTACTAGTACATGTGTAACTTCACATTAACCAGTTCAATCTGGAAAGGGGGGCAAAAAGTGATGTTCAACAATGGACAGAATGATGGGACTCATAGCAGCTGATATGATAGCTGTCTCACACAGCACTTGTTTAGAAATGGAATCTAACAATCAAACAAAACAAAAGAGAAAATGATAGGCAAACAGGTGGTAGGTGCCGCCATTCCATTCCATTTGCAAGCCATGATAATCCATCCAAAAGCAAAATAAGTAAATAGCAAGCATACATATCATCACTGGAACAGGTACAAATCAACAACCTCCATGATAAGAGGCATTCTCAGAGCTTAGGTATGTCAACCAAAAGTTGCAAGGAATCTACAATGCCCAAAATAAACAACCAGGTAACGAACTATCAATTACACCCACCAGATGCGCATAATTAGAAAGGGTAAAAGAGAAGGCAGCTGGGATACCAGGAACTGGCGCGGGTCAGGCCAGGCAGAGCGGTTGAAGCGCTTGACAGCGATGCGGCGCTGGGCATCGAGCTTCCCCTTGTATACCACATTGGGCGCCTTCTCACCGTGCTCGGACACGATGTTCTCCACCGCAAACCCCGATGTAGCTAGCCGCAACTGCTCGAAGGTGAACTCCTGGAACGCAGGCAGGTCGTATGCCTCCTCGTCCTCCGTCACTATGAATAGAAAAACACGCAGTCAAATTACTCCGAATTCCACGGAAAAGCTAATCCACATACCTAACAAAACCTATTTGCAGCCTAATCAGTAGCCATCAAAGAGCCCCGAAATCAGAAACAATTCCGGTAAAAACCTCAGAAGTTGTGTGAACACGCAACTGCAAATATCACCAATCGAACTGGATGGAAATCAGTGGGTGGAAGAAATCAATAGGCACTCTACTCAATCTAGCAACCATCGAAATGCGGATGTGGCAACCATACGCGAATCCGAACACCACAAATCGCATGAAAAGGGTAATCCGCGGACCTAACAAAACCCATTTCCAGACATAATCACTAGCTATCAAAGAGCGCCGAAATCAGAAACGATTCCACTAAAAAAAGGCTCAGGAGCAGTGCGGAAACGCAACTGCAGATATCACGCATCGAACTGGATGGAAACGAATTGATGGAGGAAATCAACAAGCACCCTACTCAATCTAGCAACCATCCAAATGCGGACGTAGCGGCCATATGCGAATCCAAGTATCCAAAAATACTACTCCTGCCGACAATCTCGGTGGTGAAAAAAAAGTTGGAGAAGAGAAACCAAAAAAGGCAACACAAAATATCTCGGAGAAGGGAAAACCAGCCGCCAAAAACAGCAAAAGCAAAGCGCCGAGGAGGCATGGAAGGCGGAAGGCATCACGCACCAGTATCAGTCTTCTCGTGGGTAACCCCGTTGTTCGGCTTGCGGCAGCAGCAGGCGGCCTTGGACACGCAGGCGCCCATTTCGATCCACGCAAGCCCGGAGACGGAGGGCGGCGTGGGGGGAATAAAATCCGAGGCGACCTGCACGGGACGGAGCAAGCAGAGCAGCAAACCTGGGAGGTGAGAGCGGAATTCAAAGCCCGCCCGGATCTGAGCATGGGACGGGGCCGCCCGAATCCAAGCGACCGAGCGAGCTGCTCACCTGCGCCGAGCAAGCAGAGCGGGCGGAACCGGAGCGGCGCGGCGAGAAGGGAGGAGGACGTCGACCGGGCGGTAGTGGATGGGATCTTCTCGTCTCCTCCTCTCTGCTCTCTGCTGGGGAGGGGAGGAGTAGCAGTTCCGTTGGGGGCGCGTCGTCCCCTGCCTGAGCGAGGAAGAGGAGAGGAGAGGAGAGGAGGCGAGCGCTGGTTCGGGTAGCAGCAGGAGTATAGTATTTCCTGCTGGTTTATTTCGACGGGAATATTTTCTGGTTTATTTATACCGACATGCCTGTACTCGGGAGCAGTGCGGGATTACCAGTTTAATCGCGTCAAATCAAGCGGTAATTTTTTTTCTAAGAAAAAAATTTCATGAGAGGCAGCATCAAATGGCGTGGAAGGGGGTAGCCGCGCCAAACCGCCGGAACGGCACGGCAAGTTGGCGACGTGCGTTTCTGCTCGGGGCGCGCGCGCGGCGGGCTCCGCGGGTGCGTTTCCGCTCGCTCGGGGCCGGGGCGCGGGCGGTGCCGCGGTGGTGGTGGCCCGGGAACGCAACAACGTGAGCCTCACGGGTCACGGCCGCCACGAAGAGCACGCGGACGGGTTCGCCGGCCGGCAGCGGCAGGTGGAGGACGTCTGACGCCCTCGTTGTCTCACGGAGAAAATTCACCACACAACGTGCTGGTTTGTTTGCTCGTCTTTCTTCTGTAGAGTAGAGGTCTTTCTTCTGTAGAGAAAAAGTGGTGGCGACAGATTCAAATATCACATGTGGCCAAATGAGAAGTCCTGAGCAAATTAACCTAAAACTAATAAGGGTCTTGGAGTGTGTAATTTTTTATATAAACAATAAAATAAAGGTTCAATGGTGAAGTGAAAATTATAGAGGTTTATGCGGATACGTGATACGAAATCTTTGTACACGCCAATATACGCAAGTGGGTGCATCAACGAAAAATGAACTGAGAAGAGGAAGAACCGGTGAAGCCACGTGCCATGATCTGTATCTTCACCTTACAGTGCTGCTACAGTATGAACAGCGCTGGATCCGCACCTGCGAAGAGCCGTGCCAAATGATCCCTAAACTAACTCATTTTTGTGGTCTCCTTGTGCCTTGAGCTCCATAGGTACTAATTTTATTGTGCATAAAATTTGATGAGCCCTCCATGGGTTTGCAGAAGAAGGGCTCAAGCCCCTGCATCCCCTAGGTCCACCAATGATAAAACTGAGTGCTTGATTACATCAAGATGCAAAGATACCTTCAAACGCTTATGCGAGGGTAAATATATCTTCAAGTCGCAAGCTATCTCTACTCTACCTAATATTAAAGAGCCAATTGTTTTTTTCTAACCTGATTCTTTTTAATCCTAAAATAGCTCCGCACCTTTGTGTCCTGTATGTATGGGAACTAAAGTCCTGATCCATACTCATATGAATTCGAACAACCCGTATCCAACGAGATGGTACAAAGTCCAGTTCTAAAATGTATTATTAGGTTACATCGTCTGCCCCTCACAAGGTATACTGTGATGGAAAAAAACACATTCTTTAATCTAGATAAAGCCCACCTTTTTCTCCTTAGTTCTTTTTCTTTACTTCACGGCTGTCCCAACCCAAAAACTGCCTACTAGATTCTATTAGTGCCGCATTAGCAAGGAACCCTTCATAGAAAACGCTCTCCACAATGCGATGCTTTTAGATGTAGAGCCTGATAAAATCTAGTCACTCCTCTTCTTTCTCTCCAATGCCATTTATCGCCCGTGCAGTGTTCTCTTTATTTTTTCTCTGTCAGCGTTCGTTGACCTGTCGTCGGCAACTTGGTCCTAGCCCCCTTTCGTCCTTGGACTCCACCTCCCCCCCCCCCCGGCGCCGCCGCCCTGCGTGTGCGTTGTTGTGTCCACCGGCATGCACAAAGCGTGGTGCGGGCCAACCGCGACGAGTGCGCACGTGTATGTGAGGGGCACTGCGGGAGGGGGAAGTGTGCTCCGATCCTCGAAGATAGTCGGCGGGTCAAGGTGAGAAGACATAGATGTGGTTGTCGCGCAAGGCTCCACTGATTTTCTGGCGTTGGCGCACAGCATTGTCCTGGGACTAGCGGCGTGGAGGCAAACGAGAGTGGTTGCGCGGCTCTCCTCTCCTAGTGCCGGTGGCAAGGCGTCATGATAGTTGCCCCACGAAGAAACCACCGCTTCTACCTATGGAGTTTTGCTCGTTTCTTTGTTCCTTAGATATTATGCCAAAATCGTTATCGCCTGAGAAATGATTTCTTGTTCTCTTGATCTCTGATCTCTTTCCTCATTTATTGTCTTGCCACATTAGTACTTTGTGTACGTGGCAGACTCGTTTAATAGGGTCAAAGTGGTCTCGCCAATCGGGCTGGGAGTGCCCTCATGACTAAAAATGTGGGCATGAGACTAGAATTCATGAGAATGGATCTCCACTCTATTTAGAGTAGTCTAGCCGACTCTTATGAAATGACATCCTTACATGAGTGGCATGTGGTTTCATTATATTTATATAGCGCCTGAGAAGGCTGGAGAGGGCAGACTAGATGTGATCGTGAAGAGGGGAGTTTTTTCATGGATGGACAACTTATATAATCGCATAATCCAGGTGAGATTAGGTTATAGGGGATTATGGGTGCTCAAGACCCACCTTGTCCCTCGTTGATTATCCAACTTGCCAAATTAGAAAGGATACAGGTAGGAATTTCTCATTTTGACCCATCATAATCAATCACCATAATCTATAAGACCCTAAAACTCTGATAATTATAATCCATAATCCTAGATTATAATAATCGAGATGTCATCTAAACTGGCCCTTACTATCCATCGATGTCATCTAAACAGACCCTTAGTATCCGTCGATGTGTCGAGTCTTTGACGCGGCTAACTGTAGTGTGCCAAATAAAAACAGTTGCTTGCTTTCAGTAAAAGCGGTGGAAACTCCTTTTTCCAGTCCAGGAAAAAAAAAAGGAAAAGTAAAAAATCGTTTGCGATGTGGCTGACTGGCCGTGTGGAACGTCAGCTCAAACAGTTGGAAGCAAACGAAGAGACGTCGTGTCGTCCAACCAATCGATCGAGATGGAACATCACATTCGCATCCCCTGAGCTTTGCCACCGCCAGGCAGGCTGCAGCAGTGAGCCAAATTGATCCGAGTTCTGACGCTTTCTTCACCCCTTTCTGTCAGGCGTCAGCGGAGACGGAGTGGCGTCCGGGCCAGGCAGGCAGAGTCCGAGACCGAGAGGGCGTGGCGGTGGTTGTGGCCCTCCAGCGCAAAAAGACGCGGGGACCCGACCAGTCCAGTCGCATCCGGGCAGAGGGCTCGTCTGGAAATCAGCGCCGCACGCTCGCAGTCCGGGTTCCGGCGGTCCGCGGCCAACAAGTGGCGGCTGCGGGTGCCGGCCGCGGCTCTCTCGTCTCTCCACGTGCAGCGCAGGATGCTGGATTTGAACACTGGCGTTCGGGGTTTGACCATGTTTGGAACCCAACGGAATTTAATCCTCCGGTGTTAGCTACTGTAGCGGCGAGAGGCGACATAGGACGTGCGTACTGGTAGTAGTACGTTTGTTCTGACCTTGCGTTGTCGCACACAGTCAGAGAAGAGCCAAGCCCGGCGTTCAGACGAGACAGTGTGAAGTGTGAAGTGTGAACCAAACAAGTACTGTACTCCGTACGTACGTGTGCACATCACTGTGCTGTGCTGCGCCGTGTTGTGCAGGACAGCCGTGCGGTCACCTTGGCACCTTGTACGGTGGCTCGGCGGCGGCGGCGATGAAGAAGGCAGCATGACGCGGACGGCACTCTCGACTGGTTCCGCATCATGGTGCACAGACACGACAGCAGTAGCCTGAATCTGCCTCAACCCAGAGTGCTGCTTTTCACGTCATCAGTTTTCGACCCACGACGACCAGCCACAGGCCAGGCGCTGGAGAGGGAGTAGTTGAGAGTTGAAACTGATGTCCTACCAACGCACTGCTCGTTATTATTATTATTGGCACTAGTATAGGCTGCATGCCTGGTAATTACTGGTAATACGGTAGTATGGTACTGCACTGAAAGTGACGCTGCGAGAAAGGTCACTGACCCGGCTGGTCTCTGAAGAGGAAGAGAGGATGGATGGATAGTAGGATAGGATAATAAAAAGAAGGAAAAGAGATCCGTGCCTGTCAAAAGGGGGGACCTACGACGAGGAAAAACCACCCACGCGCGTGGACCGTGCTTCTGCTTCTGGGTGTGAAGCACTAGCGCAGGGCGCGCGCCATCGCGCGCATTGGTAGGGAGATGTGCTGCATATATAAAAGTCTAGGACGAAATGGGAGGCGCGTGAATTCTGTAGACATTATAGCGCTGAAAGAGACAATATAAGTCAAATCAACATGGCATGGTATATCCAATTGTTATCATAAAAAAGATTTCTATAGTCAAGATTACTATTACTTCAATATAAAACAACACATGAACTTCAAAGATGCGTTAAAACAGAAATCAATCATTGAATTCCTCGGATCTTGTTGTTGCTGTAATAAACTGGTACATCTATCTATATATCTAAACATAGACCTCTCAGTTTAGACATTAAAAAACTTAACCATAAGGGGAGATTTTCTCTTGGCTTTGTCACTGTACCTGTGAGCATCCGGGAGTGTAGACCAAAACATTAGACTGTATATAGTATATGAGGCACAGATCAACTGAACTATTGCATCCAGAATATGGAAAAGAAAGAGGGTAGAAGATAAGGTCAGCAAATCAGCAACACATCACTAACCAAATCTTTTTTGGCCACTGCAATGTGAATTACCCAAGAAACGGTATAAATTT